TAATCCTGTGTGTACATCTGCTAGATGGAGCTGTGCAGTCACTGTTTCCAACCAATGTAATGTCTGTTTTTTTGTGTTTTACTGATTATAATAAAGATGAAGATTAAGAGACATAACTGTAAAGCAGTGATGCATTATGAATATTAAAAAGGGGCAAAAGTATCTGTCATGTGGTAAAACTATTGGTCCATTTTAGTGGGTGTTACACATGATTTACTAATTGGAAGTTGCAGGTCGGCTTCCGCTGAGATTATAAACAGTCTCAAGTTTATGCCTTTCATAGATAATTGAACTTGAAGTAAAAGATACTCAGCCCATCGTGTCTCTAGTCTCTATAGAGCAGAGCGGAGCTGAATGGAGCGGAGCAGAGCTGAGCAGAGCTGAGCAGAGCTGAGCAGAGCGGAGCAGGTCCATGTAGGGTAGAGTAGAGCAGACATTAAGCCTTTACCTCTGTGGTCCTCAGGGTCCATGATCTGGTCCAGATCGGCCCCCAGACTCAGGCACAGGCGGCTCCTCATGTTACTGCTGCGGCTCCGCGCCACAGAGGGGCGGAGCAAAGTGGGCGAGGGGGCGGAGCCATCACTGGTTCCCTCGCCATCATCATAGAGATCACCTGTCAGGTTTGAACAAATATTATTATTATTATTATTGGATCGTGTTTATATCGGCACATCATCTTTAGAATGTGACATCATTTCTTACATAGATAAACATGTATAAATGGAAAATCTGATCTCAGCTTGTAATTCCCGCTTCTACCACTGGAGGGAAGTGTAGAGTTTTTTTTTTTTTCAATATGAAACATTGTATACAACAAATACATCCACGCAATTGTAAAGTACTGAATTTTAACGATAGAAATGATCAAAGCTCATTTAGAGCCAAAACTGGACAAATAAACAGCAGTTAGCTCTGAGCAGTGTAGAGTGCATCAGAGTGCAGCAGAAATATTAAGGATTATTTTTTTCCTTGAAAAATGATAACGATACAATTTACTTTGTCAATTCATGTTTTAGAAAGTTAAAAATATCTACAGGGATTAAGGGTAAAAAAAATGTCTGCCTGTAACTTTCTCTGTTGCCACCAGAGGGAGGTGTGGAATTTGTTTTGTTTTTTTCTACATTTTTCAGTTGAGAAATTACCAAAACTGATTTTTGGGCAAAATTTTTGTTTTAAAAGAGTCAGAAAAGTGTTCAGAGTGCGACGTCTCTCTCTTTCTGGTCTCTCTCCCTCTCCGGTCTATTGCTCTATGCCCCTCTCTCTCCCTCCCCCAGTCCAGACCCCAGCCCATTCATGTCACTACACAAGCTGATCCTGAAATCTCAGACGTTCACCTGTGGAGCGATGGAAGCCTCTGGAGACCTGTCCCACTGAACTCTGACGCTGTTCGAGACCCGCAAGAACCCCTGCTCACACGGGACACAAAACAGGCTCTTTGAAAATGTTACCTGGAGTCTGAAATGTGGCTCCAGCAGAAAAATGGGATAGGAGCTGTTGTTAGTAAACAAAGACATAAGAAATCACAGAGTTGGAACATAAGATAAATTAAATAATAGTTATTTGATATGGACACAACATTGAACAGACAGATGCACTGCCTAGTGTTCTAGCGAGACCATGCTAATTTTCAACACTATTAAAAAACAACTTAACAGACTCGAACCGTTTCTGCAAATGGAAGTGTGTCAGTCCTGGTCTTATCTACAGCCTGTGAATGTAGCAGCAATGGAAGTAGTAGCAGAAGTAGTAACAGCAGAAGTAGCAGTACTAGTACTAGTATTATAGTAGATGTAGCAATAGTAGCAGTAGCAGTAGTAGCAGCAATACTAGTAGTAGCAGTAATACTAGTATAATAGTAGTAGTAGCAGCAGCAGTACTAGTAAAAATAGTAGTAGTAAACATAGTAGTAGCAGCAGTAGTAATAGCAGTAGTAGTAGTAGTAGCAATAGTAGAAGTAGCAGTAACAGAAATAGAAGTAGCAGCAGCAGTACTAGTAAAAATAGTAGTAGTATCAATTGTAGTAGTAGTAGTAGTAGTAGCAGCAGCAGCAGCAGCAGTAGCAGTACAATAATAGTAGTAGTAGCGATAGTAGCAGCAGCAGTACTAGTAGTAATAGTTGTAGTAACAGAAGGCACCTCTGTGGGACAGCTCCTCGCTGCTGCTCCAGGCCGACCCTTCAGGACTCTGCTGCATACTGCTGCTGCTGCTGCTCCAGGCCGACCCTTCAGGACTCTGCTGCATACTGCTGCTGCTGCTGCCCTGCACAGAGACAGTGCCTGACGTAGACATTCACACAACCACAATCTCCCAATATTAAAGCAGGACACACTTTCAAACACCAAAAGGTTTCGACTACAGCCCGTGTCGCTGAGTATATGAGGAAGAGCCTGGGGTTTTTTAGTATTTTTGCTCAGTGGGAATGAGGCTTCAGATTCTCACTCTACAGCAGATAGAACCCCACGGTGTCTGCAGTGTGGGACCTACATGCAGTGTTCTGGCTGTGGGCGGAGGGGCCGATCTGAGGCCGGACTCTGGGGCCGATCCTCGTTTGGGGCCCGGGTCCAGGTCCTGAATGTGGATCTGTGGCACTGAGAACTTCTGTGGAAATAATCAGAGAAGAACGAGGTGAGGGGGAGCGGATGTCCAAACAAGGGCTGTAACCATAGACTGTAAGTATTATTGATTTGATGCTTTTATTATTTTGATCGTTGAGTTAATACGGTGAAAGTGCCTTGCTCAACTGCCCATTACTGCAATATCATACAAAAAGCTATTGTTCATACGTCCCTTGTGCAAATTGTTGTGTGTTCATTATGTAATCATTAGACAAGGGCCTGTGTAGACCTATACAAGGGCCAATGGTTCAGGAATCGACAGTTTCACCTGAGGCCAGACGGCAGGGGCCGGCTGACGGCTGGCGTTCGGTGGCACCGGTGCAGTGTCCAGAGCCGGAGTGGACTGGGACATGAGCCTCCTCTCCGGGAGAACGTCGTCCGCTTCATCCTCGTACTCTTCCACAGACACAGCGCTCCTATAGCTCTGTCGCAGACGTGTTCTCCGGGGGACACTGGTCTGGAGGGGCGCAAAGACAGGTCCTGGAGCAGAGACAGGTCCTGGAGCAGAGACAGGTCCTGGAGCAGAGACAGGTCCTGGAGCAGAGACAGGTCCTGGAGCAGGGATGTTCCTCACAGAGATAGGTCCTGGAGTTGAGACAGGTCCTGAAATCGAGACAGGTCCTAAAATAGAGACAGGTCCTAGAGCAGAAACTGGTCCTGAAGTGGAGACTGGTCCTAGAGCAGGCCTGTCCCTCACTGTGACTCTAGGGACATGTCCCTTCTGGATCCAGAATTCCCCTCGTGTCACTGGACACACTGTGAAGGCGGGACCAGGATCCGGCAAGACCGTGATTCTCTGTCGCGGCGACAGAGACCGAGGAGCAGGAGGCTCAAAGAAGGGCTGGCCGACTGCTCCAGGTCTGGACTGAGGGGACAGGGACAGAGGCTGAGGGGACAGGGACAGAGGCTGAGGGGCCTGGGACAGAGGCTGAAGGGCCCGGGACAGAGGCTGAGGGGCCCGGGACAGAGGCTGAGGGGACAGTGACAGGGGCAGGTGTGTGCTGGAGGATTCAACAGGCTGTGTGTGTCTCTGCTGAGGAGAGACAGACTGAGGGGCCCGGGATACAGGCAGGTGAGTGCGTCTCTGCTGAGGGGAGACTGACACAGGCTGAGAAGAAAGGTTCAAGGGCGGGTCCTCTCTGGCTGGTCCAGGACGGGGCAGGTCCTCTCTGGCTGGTCCAGGACGGGGCAGGTCCTCTCTGGCTGGTCCAGGACGGGGCAGGTCCTCTCTGGCTGGTCCAGGACGGGGCAGGTCCTCTCTGGCTGGTCCAGGACGGGGCAGGTCCTCTCTGGCTGGTCCAGGACGGGGCAGGTCCTCTCTGGCTGGTCCAGGACGGGGCAGGTCCTCTCTGGCTGGTCCAGGACGGGGCAGGTTCTCACTGGCTGGTCCAGGACGGGGCAGGTTCTCACTGGCTGGTCCGGGCCGGGGCAGGCCCCTGCTCCTCCCTGCAGAGCTCTGCTGCTGCTGGACTTTGCTCTGCAGGTTCAGCTTTGGCTCCTCGCTCTTGTTGTTGTGGAGGATCCCCGCTGCGGGGAGGGGCCCCTGCCCCACGGGGCTGTCAGTCCAAGACTTGTCCACATTCCAGAGTGGGCTGTGGCTGCGCTCGGAGCAGCTGGCCCCTGGTGCGGACCCCGGGGCTCGGTACTTCTTCTGTAACACCACGTAGCTGACGCCGTCCACCTGTTTGACCCGCGCCACTCCGTTCACGAAGCTCTTGAAGCGCTCCCGGTTCCGCACCCTGTCCGCGTGCTCCCCGAGGAACGGGCGGAAGTGCAGCAGCAGCTCCGTGTTCGGCACAGTACCTCCACGGGACTGCAGGAACCGGAGCACGGCGTCCTGACTCAGCTCCACGGGCTCCGGTCTGAGCTCCAGCGCCATGGCCCCGTGTCCTGTGTCAGAGCGGGCAGAGGGAGCGGCTTAGCTCCGCCCATAGGTGCAGGCGTCAGGTGTGTGACGCACGGGGCACGTGACAGCCTCCGGGACACAGGTAAACAACCCGAGGTGTGAGATCAGTGAAGAAGCAGTTTATACAACAGGTGGAGATGGGATCAGAGAGATTAGAAGTATGAGGAGCAGAAGTGAAACTAAAGTACTTCCTCTGTGTGTCTCTGTGTAGTGTATCTCTCTCTCAGTGTGTGTGTGTCTGTTTCCTGGTCCATGATCGGTGACCATATTAATCAGCTGCCTCTAATGTATTCCATGAGGGAATTGCACAAGAACGTAGTCAGATCCTGCTGATTTGTCCCTGTGTAATGTGCTGTGAGGTCTTGAACTACAGGATTAATGAAAGGTGATATTTGCAAGGAACTCAAGTTAACTGTATTATTTATTATCTTTATGTAACAAAGCACTTAAAGAATCAAGTGCTTCATGTAACAGATGATTCATCACACAGCTTGACACTAATACTTTGTACATGAACAGTTTGTAAACTCACAAAAACGCAAGGAGACATATTATCAAAACCCAGTCTTTATTTTTCTACAAAAAAACTACTTTTGACACATGAAAAAGAGATAGCACCTGAGGGCAAGACAGACTCTGACATAACTTTGTCAAGACTTCAGTACAGAACAAAACATTCATAAATCACATGTTTAGTGTTGGGGAAACATATCTTTACTGTCCTTTTGTTTACAAACCGCCAAAGCGGTTTGTAAACAACGAACATGAACATAAGCTAGCTGGAGCCAATTTCTTTATATGGGTATTTGTTCTGAAGGCCTTAGCTTCACCCCGCCACAAGGGCAGAAGACGATTGCTAAGGCAAGCTGGAGACCCCCGGGAATGAAGGCATCGGATTAAAAATCCAGATATGAGCCATATACATAGACTAAAGACTCCTCTATAAACACCAGGATCATAGAAAGCGCTAAACCATTTATTTTTTGAAGCCCAAAATGGTGAGTGTGACCAAAACTTTTATTGAGCTAAAAGGAGTTTACTTTTAAGTACAAGTAAATAGGAGCCAGAGAGAGTTGTAGCATCTCCCTATTTTGCTTCATTGAGCTAGCCTAGCGGGATAGCATCGTCCATCTACATACAGTCAGATCTGGACCTGGAACTGAAGCGTGTTACATCACCACAGACCGCCCCGTAACCGCAGTTCTATTACTCATGTTTTCAAAAGTTCAGTCCTGACTTACTCCAGTTTCTGCCTGGTTTAGCTTTTGTCTAGTGAAAATATTCTTAACCCCTTTATGGACTGATGGCTTACGTGTTTTATTATCATTGTACTTCCTGTGTTTGAACCCTTTGATTCTCTGATCTGTGTTGGCAAATCGACTGCTTTGTAAAGTCCTATGAGATAACTACTGTTGTGATAGAGGGCTATACAAAAATAAATGGAATTGAACTTTCTAAACGCCTCTCTCAAAGACTGGCAGCAGGTGGCGCTCTCTTAAAGGGCCAGATGCAGCGTGATGGGGCAGTGGTCGCTGCCCATGGCCTTGCCGCGGATTTTGCTGTCGCACAGTTTGAGCAGGAGCGCCGACGACAGCACGAAGTAATCCAAGCGCCAGCCCACGTTCTTCCCGCGGGCGCCCATCATGTAGGTCCAGAAGGTGTAGGCATACTGCTGGTCCGGGTACAGCGTGCGGAAGCTGTCGAAAAAGCCCGCGGCGAGAAGCTTGTCAAAGCCCTCTCGCTCCTGGGGCGTGAACCCGGCGTTCTTCTTGTTGCCCTTGGGGTTCTTGAGGTCGATCTCCTGGTGTGCCACGTTCAGGTCGCCGCACAGCACCAGGGGCTTCTGCTGGTCCAGACCGCTCAGGTAGGCCTGGAAGTCCTCGTCCCAGGTCTTGCGGTAGTCCAGGCGCACCAGGCCCTTCCCGGCGTTCGGCACGTACGCAGTGACCAGGAAGTAGTCGGGAAACTCAGCGGTGATGACGCGGCCCTCTTTGTCATGCTCTTCTTTGCCTGCAAAGAAGCGTTTGGTTAAAAAATTATGTATTGGCTGAAGCCCCATTTTTTTACTAAAATGTTCATTGTTATTTAAGTCAATAAATTTACATTAAGAATGTAATTACTATTACATCAGGACTTTTAGGTGCACCTGTATATGAGAATGAATACTGAAATACAAAAAAAATATGAATGGATTTTAAGACAAATATGTATGTTTTTCTGTTAAGCTTAGGCAGGCTGTGTGAGTGTGAGGCTGTAGCGGCACCTCTGTGAGGTTAGTCTGGATCTACAAACACAAAAGGGTACAGTAGCTCGTTTGCATTACTGCAAGACCTTTATCCCCACTGCTGTCAGACTGTACAATAAGTCACTTTAACTCACTTGTACTATTGCCACCGTTTCTTTAATTGCCACTTTTATTGTACATCGTATATCCTGCATTTAACATGTTTGCACATTTCTTTCTTTGCACAATCTTGATTGATTCTATCCATGCCAGATGTGACATGTACATTTCTCCTGTGTGAGATCTATAAAGTCTATCTTATCTTATTAAACAGTCTGGTCCTGGTGGTCACTCACCAATGCCATAGGTGACCTTGATGGGCTCGGTCTTGCAGAGCATGGCCACGCCGCTGTAGCCTGCGTTGTCCTCGGCGGTCGCCCAGTACTTGTGCGGGTACTCGTCCAAGGAGGTGATGTCTTTGGGCAGGTCCTTCTCCGCACATTTGGTCTCCTGAAGGCACAGGACGTCTGGGGCCTCCTCACTCACCCACTGGGAATATCAAGGGAGAATCCATTTTTGGGTCTGTAAACGAGTGTGTGTGTGTGTGTAAGTAAGAATGTCCAACTCACATCCAGGCCCTTCTTCTTCACCCAGGCCCGGAGCCCGTCCACGTTCCAGGAGGTGATCTTCAGGTTGGCCTCTTTCCCATCTTTACTGCTCAGTTTGTCTGGAGGGTCTTCATAGAGGATTGGGGCTTCCGGCTCCTTGGAAGGCTTGGCTTTTTTGGTTGAGCCTTTAAACAAAAAAGCGCAATGCAAGATTTACAGCCTCAATTCATTGTATTTGCGTACCACCCTAAATCACAACAGCAGTGTTCACGGAGGACAATACAAAGTTGTCGATATACAAAATAACAGATCAGAGGCTGTAGGTTCACTCTCAGATCCTCAGACCTAAACTTCTTCCATTTCTAGGTTTAACTCTTGTACACTGCATCTTAAAACATGTCGTTAAATCTACTTATGTGTTTTAATAGTGAGATTTCATTTGACCATTTATGTTATGGTCGTGATCATGTTGTAATGTTTTGTGCACTAAGTATGCCAAACAAATAAATATGACCGCAGTACCGTTCTCCCCGTCTGCAGCTCCGTCGTCCTTCTTGCTTCTCTTCATGTTAGAACCGGCTCTGACTCCAAACAAGCGCACACCACCACACGCACACAGCAAACACACACTCACAAGACGCTGCGGAAGAAGCCAAACATATAGAACAATAAATATATTTTTTACCATTTATTTTACCCACTCATTATACCAACCAGTGACGTGCTCTGCCTCCCCTGCCATCATTGAAAAAATAATTATATATAGTCAAAATATATAATTGTTTTCCACTGTCCTATGCTTATAAAGTATTTTCGGCCTGTTTCCGAACAGTTTTGATCATTTCTGAAGTCAAAATTGCTGAAATCCTATTTTTTCTATTCAAAGAGACGAGGAGAGGCAGCGCTCCTGCCTCCCCCCAGACCGCTCGCTCCCACATAGTGTGTGTGTGTGTGTGTGTGTGTGTGTGTGTGTGTGTGTGTGAGTGTACTCAGCTCGTGCTGTTGATGTATCCCTTTTTGTTTCAACATCCTGCTATGAAAACATTTGTTAAACTTGTCATAGTGTTTAGTAATGTATTGCACGCATGTGTGTACTATATATAATTATTTGAAGTCTTTTGATCGGAGAAGAATACACATGGGAAAAGCCTAGCGTGAGGCAGGCAGTGTCTGTGTCTCACCACTAGGGGTGATTGTGAGCATGAAGTTATACCAGAGTTGCTAACAGACTGTAAATATTTTGCTAACCAACAATCAGTCCCGTCGGTGCTATTTCTTTTGCTGGAAAATAGATGATTGGATTGAGGATTTGTTTCTCAACTGGAATTTCAATCAAAGCAAGAAGTAATATAGACAAGACCACCGCTGGACTGACGAGGTTAGTCCGGCCGCGGGGGAGGAGTCTGTCAGTGTCTGTTTTATATTGAACATTTACTAGAGCTGCATAAAAGTGCTTCCCCGAAAAACACTGCTCATAAGTTCTGCAACTTGTTTAATTCTTGTTTGTGTTCCTTGTGTTTCTCTCTCTCTCCTTGCGTCTCCTTCTCTCACGCCCCTTGCGTATCTCTCCCTCCCTCCTCCCGTCTCTCGCACCTGTGCTTCGCAAACACTTGGTTTATGCGGAGCGGAGAGCCAGCGTCTAGATGTGTTGTGGGATTTTTAATAATATGCTGGTTCTTATCTTTACAGTATATAATGTTTGTCTTTGAATTGAAGATTTAATGCTATTTTATTAGAATAATGATGGTAAATCTGACTGTTAAAGTCAGTGCCTCCCCAATCACAAACCTCACCGCACGTCCCTGATACACCGCGGTAAAGTGGCCCGCATCGGGGAAAATACGGTGCGCGTTTCTTTGAGAACTTACGGTAACAGCGGAACATCCTTTCGGAGTCACCCATTTTTATCGAACAGAGAGCGCGCTGGGGTCTGGGAGACACGTTTTTGTGATTAAAACCTTAGAGATGCCACCCGGCACCAGTGGCGGCCGGCCAATAGAGGGCGCTAGGGCGCCGCCCCACCACTCACAACTTGCCATGTTACCTTGAATAAAACGTTAAAAAAAATAATAACATTAAAATATTTCGAAATGTATGTGTGTTTTATTTCAGATGTGGAAGAAATACTTTATAGTTTATGCTGAGTTGGATTGATTAAGCTCATCAGCGTTGTCTGTGTCGGACTGAGGACGTATTTCCGCCTCAGGGCGCAAAAGATTGCGCCCTGAGCCGTCTATGGACTCTCGTTAAAAGTTGGACATGCGCAGTAGCTCCTCTTCAATGCAAGAGATAAGACGATTTGGGGGCGCAGGAGAAGTGCGCCCTGAGGGGGCGGGATCGCCCGCGACCTGTACTGTCACTGTCTGTGACGTCCGTTTACAGTGATTGACAGGTCAAGCTGTGGGAGTTTGAGACGAACGTAAAGAGACGCAAAATGGAGAACGAGAAAAAGAATAATTCAGTTAGATCACTCAAAAAAATACCGTTTGAGAGAAGATCATACCAGGAGAAGGTTGAGGTTAAAGAGCTTGGACCTGATCAGCCAAATATTACCATTAGTCAGCAGTCCAGCGACAGGGGGAGACGGTACACTCGTACTTTTTCCAGGACCTGGTTCAGCGCCAAATCTTGGCTAGCAGCATGTAGCGAGGCTAATGCTTTATTTTGCTTTCCATGCCTCTTGTTTCAAACATCAGGATCTGACCCAGCATGGATCAAGACAGGTATGACTGATCTGAAGCACTTTTTAGAAAAGGCAAAGAAGCATGAGCAGACTGGTATCCACATGCAAAATGCCCTCAAATTAGCTATGTTTGGGAAGATAAATATTTCATCCCAGCTGGATACAGGCTAGCTACAGGGTAGGGATCAGAAAGCACAATGAGGAGGTTGACAAGAATAGGCACATCCTATCAAAAATAATAGACTGTGTCAAATTCTGTGGTGCATTTATATCTAGTCATCATATTCATAGCCCCCCCAGTAGAAAATTCCACCAGCCGCCACTGCCCGGCACACATAGCACCAGCCCCCTACGATTCCTCCGGCAGATTGTGAGTCCTCAGGAGGATAGCCACTCTATTGTTTACATATATAAAGTACACAATTTGGTCCGCTAGTGCAATTTTCAAGTATTGTAACTATTTACTGGAATAAGGTGTGCGACTAATTTCACTTGACTCATGAGCTTATTATTGCCCTCTACCACTGTACCAAAGACCAGAAACTTTTACTGTAGAAATATTGAGAAATATTGATTTAAAGTAATGGCTACTTTAAATCAATATTTCTCAATATTTCTACAGTAAATGTTTCTTGTCTTTGGTACAGTGGTAGAGGGCAATCATGAGGTCATGAATCCAGGGAAATTAGTCGCACACCTTTTTACGGTAAAAAGTTACAGTAGACCAAAAATGACATGTTTTGACCAATTTTTGGCTACTTTGAACCAAAATGGCTACTTTAACTCCATCCATCCATCCATTTTCTTACCCTTTATCCATTTCTGGGTCGGGGGGGTGGCAGTCAGAGCTTCACCCAGTACACAGAGCACCAGCCCCTCACTGATCCTCCTGCAGGTGGTGAGTCCACAGGAGCTGAGATCTTTCAGTGGGAGCTTCAGGCAAAGTGGGGTTAAGTGTCTTGCCCAAGGACACAACGACAGCAGTCATCAGTGGGAGTCGTGAAGTAGGTCTTGTGGTGGGCTTGAACCCACGACCTTCAGGCCCAAAGGCCAATGCTCTACCAACTGAGCTACTGTCGCCCCGAGTTAAGTTAACTGAGTTAATACTTTAAATCAATATTTCTCCAAATGTCCACAGTAAAAGTTTCTGGTCTTTGGCACAGTGGTAGAACATAATAATGAGTACATAAATCCATTGAAATGAGTCACACACCTTTTTACAGTAAATAGTTACAGTAGATCAAAAGCGGGAATGTTTTTACAGTTTTGTGTATTTTGCTCTAAAGTGTACTTTGTCTCAATTTTACCCAACATTTCCACAGTAAAGGTGTGTGGTCGTAGGCACAGCGTTGAAGGCAGCTATATCGAGGTCATGAACCCAGTGGAATAAGCCACACAAGTCTTTACTGTAAAAATGGACAGCTGCTGAAAATTTCACTTTTTGACCAAATTAAATGCTTTCCAAATATGGGTTTATTCACAAAAACGAGTCACCTCAGCGCACTTTCTGTTCGAGGAGAAAAGCTGACAGCGAAAGGCTGTTCTGCTATTACCGTAAGCAGTCAACAAAACGCGCACTGTTTTTCTCTCGATGCGGGCCGTTTTACTTCGGAGGTGAAAGATGCGGCCCACTTTACCGCGGTCCTGATACCAACATAATACAACAACTGCTATGTAATATCCACGCCACTCGTTCTTTGCTCTTAAAACAATGTGCGTCTAATACAAGTTTTCTCTGGTCTCAGGTATTACATAGTTCTGCATATATGTATGGAAAAATGGGTACCTCAGTTTTTAAGATGAAGAAAAGATTCGTCCCACAGTGGGGAAATCCAATTGTTATCACACACAAGAATATGTAGAATATAAAGTTAGTGTTTTTAGTGCATTATTTAGATCATTCATTAGTGGTTTGAAGAAGTACCCCAGCTTTTAAGGGCACAGCAGCTTAGATTAAAGGCCTTGCTAACACTGGCCCTGCTCTGACAAAGACCACAGAATGTGCTCGGAGAATGAATGAATGCACCGAGGAACGGCCGCTGACACCGGTAAACCCATCTAACGTGATGTAAAGGCGGACCGGGTGATTAAAAAGCACGGGTAAATGCATGCAAATACGAAATCTTACGTGCACTTCTGCAGCAGGACGGCGAACCTAGCAGATTCCCCTCAGTCACTCCCACAACAACTCAACCCGACCTCGAACACAACGCACAATCCACGTGTTTGCGTTGTAACTGTATTGATGAACTGGCGCCTGTTGGCAAATTCAACATATTATTAAAAAAAACGTAAAATGACTAAATATTTATGTATAGAAAATCAAATTCATCATCATTTTATTTGATTCATATTAATGTATAATTTCTGCGTGGAACTGTATGTATTTTGGTTTTTAAAAGCTTGAGTTTTTTTCTTTTGATTAGGCAAAATCCGGGGCAGCCATGTTTGAGCCCGTACCGTATGGGTCCTATGTAGCATGTTGTTAACAATTAGCAGAAGTTTAGCCAAAAATATCAAGAATAAACAGTTTTCAAGACGCACCGCTTCTGACTAATAGTAAGCTAATATTTTGGCGTGTTTATGTGTGTTTTTCTCTGGGCCTGGGGCTGTGTGAATGTACGGATGTTTTCTGGAGAGATGATTAAACTAGCTGATCATGTGTTTGGTGTCAACTCTGAATGAATGAATCAGTTTTCGTCATGTAACCCTGTCAGTGTGCTGTATTTGATCAACATGGAGGAAAACTAACAGAAGGAAAAGCACAGGGTCTGTTTGGGTTCTAGTTATTGTACAGCTATAAGAAGTGCTCCAAGACTTCTTATTTAGAGCTACACAAATATGCCAAGGCAATTTCTTTTGTATAGCACAAATCATATACAAAGAAGCTCAAAGTTATTTACAAAACAAGATAGTAAAATAAATAATCTCTATATATGGCGTCTGTATATTAGATTAAGATCCTATATTCGTAGGGAGTAGGGAAATGTCAGTTTTGCATCATCAGTTACAGAACAGTAGGAAAGGAGAGCACACAGCACAAGTTAAGTTTATTTATTTAAGATGACAGGGACAGTGTGCAATAAACATTAACCTCAAAGGGAAAGATGCATTGTACCAGGTTATGTGAAAACTCTATTCTAAAATGAAATAAAATGTATGACTTTAGCATAATATCGAAAGAAGTATAACAGGGGGTTCCACTGGATGGTCGACTGTGTGCGCTGTGTGAGCTGGGAGTAGTGGAGGATGAATTTCATTTTTTGTTTTACTGTCCTATGTACAATGACCTAAGAATGGTATTGTTCACAAAGATTCAATGTAAAAATCCTGATTTGTTTTGGCTTTCTGATGGTGATAGACTGTGTTGGATATTTGAAAATGATTTTTTTTGCAGTGGCAAACTTTGTTGAAAAGGCCTGGACACTGAGACAAAGGACTTAATATCCAGAGAGACAGTAATATCTTTGTCCACAGGTGTGGCTATATCTTCCTTTTTGTTGATAGTGTCATATAAGCCCATGAGGGCTGGGCACATACTGTATGTGTATGACACTTAAATAAAATATTCATTCATTCATTCATAATTATGTAACTTTAGAAAAATAAAAAAGTAAGGAAATATCTATGTTTTGTATGAACACTGGTTTTAGTTTATTGTCTGTTCTTGTCGCTGTGTGAAGGAGGGGTTCCATAGGTCTTTCCTTCCTGCTGCTGTCAGACTGTACAAGGAGAACTGTTGAGCCTGTAAATGTCACTCATCTGTATGTGCTATACTGCAACTTCAGAATGTCCACTGAACAATGTCACTGTACTTTATCTACTAATCTTATCTTAAAGGGTTAAATTACATGTTTAGTTCCCTTTTTCCTTTTGTGAAATATAAAGTAAACCAACCCCTGTCTTCCAAGTTGCCATGACGATAGTGATCGGATTCGAGGGCAGTGCGAATAAGATCGGTGTGGGCATCATCCGCGATGGAGAGGTGCTTTCCAACCCGAGGAGGACGTACATCACTCCCCCTGGACAAGGCACGGACGCACACTTCACTTTTCATCTATTTAAGCAGTTTTAGGGTTGTCACAAGTATCAGACATCAGATATAAAACAATAGAAACACATTTTCAAGACTAGACACTCATTTGAATAAGTGTTTAATACATGGAACATACTGTGCAATAATGTTCAATAATGTCATTATGTGCCAGAATAATGCAAGAGCTGCAGGCGGACGTCACCGCAGTGTTAGCCTTAATGCACTATTCCAGAAAATTGAACTCCTGGTCTCTCTTTCTTGTCTCTCTCTGGTCTCTCCATGGTCTCTCTCTCTGGTCTCTCCATGGTCTCTCTCTCTGGTCTCTCTCTCCAGTCTCTTTTTGGTCCACTAGCTGCTGTAGTTGTAGGGTTAATCCTGGTGTGGCCTCTGCAGGTTTCATGCCCAGCGACACGGCCAGACACCACAGAGCAGTCATCTTGACTGTTCTGAAGGAGGCTCTGGAGGAGGCGGGACTTCAGCCTCAAGACATTGACTGTGTGGCCTACACCAAAGGTACCAACACTTTATTATCACTATGTGCCGATTAGAGCTAGCTCAAACAGGCCAAATGACGGTGGGATTAACAGCCTAGCAACCAAAGAGCAAATGAGGAGCAGCTCTCCTGCTTACTTTATTTGGCAGCGACAGCCTAATTTGGGGCCAGAAGGCTGCTGATTGGTCTGTTGTTAAAGCTCATATCTGAGTGTGACACAAACTATTACGTTTTGCCTTAGTACTCTGTGTGGCTCTGCTTCAGGGCCCGGGATGGGTGCTCCGCTGGTCACCGTGGCTCTTGTGGCCCGGACTGTGGCTCAGCTCTGGGACCGGCCTCTTCTGGGGGTGAACCACTGCATCGGACACATCGAGATGGGACGCCTCATCACCAACGCCCACAACCCCACAGTGCTCTACGTCAGCGGGGGAAACACACAGGTGGGGCCTCTCTCTGGTCTCTCTCTGGTCTCTGTCTGTGGGCTCTCTGTGGTATCTTTCTAGTAGTCTCTCTCTAATCTCTCTCTACTCTCTCTCTGGACTTTCTGTCTGATCTCTCTCTGGTCTCTCTCTCTGGTCTTTGGTCTTTCTCTCTGGACTTTCTATCTGATCTCTCTCTGGTCTCTCTGTGGTCTTTCTCTGGTCTCTCTGTGGTCTTTCTCTGGTCTTTCTCTGGTCCTCATAACAGTTCCCCTTTGTTCTTTTAGAATGTGCTGTTCTCTGTTCTCAGGTGATCGCTTACTCAGAGCGGCGCTATAGAATATTTGGGGAGACGATTGACATCGCGGTCGGTAACTGTCTGGACCGGTTCGCCCGAGTCATTAAAGTTAGTCTTTATGATCTCACCTGTCCTATAACAGGCAGTACTCTATCTGTTTGAAAATATTTTGCAGTCTCTCTCTTTAGAATGGTCTCTCTTTCTGGTCTCTCTCTGTTCTCTCTCTTTTTGTGACAACCCTAATGTGCAGCAGGCGGACAAAAAGTAAATGTAATGATATCTCCATTAAACCTGAGATCTCACTAAAAGGTGTGTGTCTGTGTGTAACTGACTTTGTGCTTTTATGAATGAATGATAAACGATGATCTGCTGCTGATGGAAACATTTCGTCTGTTCAGATTTCCAACGACCCCAGTCCCGGCTTCAACATCGAACAAATGGCCAAAAAGTAAGTATTACTCACTAATGTAAGGCATTCTATATGTGGACAAAATGTGTCTGTTCAGCAGGCAAGGCATATTTATTTGTATAGCACGGAGTGTGTGTGTGTGTGTGAGATGTAACCATTTTTCAGTGTGTGCGTGTCTGACTATGTTTCTGTGTGTGTGTTTGTTCAGAGGGACAAAGTTTGTGGAGCTGCCGTACACCGTGAAGGGGATGGATGTGTCCTTCTCTGGGATCCTGTCGTACATCGAGGTCAGCGCCGCCTCTCTCTCCCACTATGATCTTCTTCTGATCTTTCTGTTCTTTCACTTCTCCTTCTCCTCTACCTCCTCCTTCACCTTCTCCTCCTCCTCAAACAATGTGTGTTTGTAGGAAGCTGCTCATAAGATGCTGAAGTCTGGAGAATGCACAGCGGAGGATCTCTGCTTTTCTCTTCAGGTAACTACATAAAGATCAGAGAGAGAGAGAGACCAAAGAGAGAGAGAGAGACCAGAGAGAGAGAGAGGGAGCCCAGAGAGAGAGGGAGCCCAGAGAGGGAGACCAGAGAGGGAGACCAGAGAGGGAGACCAGAGAGGGAGACCAGAGAGGGAGACCAGAGAGGGAGACCAGAGAGGGAGACCAGAGAGGGATACCAGAGAGGGATACCAGAGAGGGATACCAGAGAGGGATACCAGAGAGGGAGACCAGAGAGGGAGACCAGAGAGGGAGACCAGAGAGAGAGAGAGACCAGAGAGGGAGACCAGAGAGAGAGGGAGACCAGAGAGGGAGACCAGAGAGGGAGACCAGAGAGGGAGACCAGAGAGAGGGAGACCAGAGAGAGAGAGACCAGAGAGAGAGAGAGAGACCAGAGAGAGAGAGACCAGAGAGAGAGGGAGACCAGAGAGAGACCGTTTCTACAGAGCATGTTGCCACTTGTAATCAGAGTGTGTATGTGTCGTGCAGGAGACGCTGTTCTCGATGCTGGTGGAGATCACAGAGAGGGCCATGGCTCACTGCGGCTCCCAGGAGGTGATGATCGTAGGAGGAGTGGGATGTGAGTCCGCACACACACTCTCTGTAGAATGGCAGTTTTTACAAGTAAATTATAGTTTTACACCAAGAAAAAACAATATTGAAGTAAAGTTCACAAAGGGAAGTTATTAACTTACATGTGATTGGACTAGTGATAAATACACAGTATCTATACAGTTTTGTTTAGACGTTTACACACAATTGGTCCATATTGGCGTGATAAACACTGTCCAGAAGTGTTAATAAATAATAAACCACTAAAAATCTCTGTGGGAACATTTTTTAATAATCTCGGGGAGGCCTTAGTGAGAGAGGGAGCAGCTCCCACGGACAGAAGCTGTATAGATCAAGGACTGAGGCTGTAGACCCAAGACTGAAGCTGTAGATCAAGGACTGAGGCTGTAGATCAAGGACTGAGGCTGTAGACCCAAGACTGAAGCTGTAGATCCAAGACTGAAGCTGTAGATCCAGGACTGAAGCTGTAGATCCAGGACTGAAGCTGTAGATCCAGGACTGAAGCTGTAGATCCAGGACTGAGGCTGTAGATCCAGGACTGAGGCTGTAGATCAAGGACTGAGGCTGTAGACCCAGGACTGAGGCTGTAGATCCAGAACTGAGTCATTATTAACCTTCTCTGTGGGTGCTTCTTGTCTTGTGTGCAGGTAACCTCCGGCTGCAGGAGATGATGGGAGTGATGTGTGAGGAGAGAGGAGCCAAAGTCTTCGCCACAGACGAGCGGTACGACTCAACATGTTCATTTCTATGCAATAGTAACACACAGGACCCTTGTGTCACAGTGAGGCTCAGTTCTCGCTCATTCAAAGCCTTTGTGTTGAAACAGGTTCTGCATTGATAACGGGGCGATGATCGCTCAGGCGGGATGGGAGATGTTCCGGTCGGGGCAGGTCACAGAGCTGCAGGACTCGTGGATCACACAGAGGTAAAAGGAACCGATCTCACTCCGCCTCAAGCTAACGCTAACGCTACCCACTGCTCATGTCTTCTGTGCTTCTCAGGTTCAGGACGGACGAGGTGGAAGTGACGTGGAGAGACTGAACCTCTAGAGCAGATTCATAACATGGCCCTGTATATGTTTTATTATTTTGTAATATATTTGAATTGACTTTTTGTATGTTTTATGGTGTCGAGAAAAGAGACGGAGGCAGCAGCGACCTCACGCACTCTTTATTAGCCATTCCCCAGACAGAACAAAAGACCAAGCTTTTTCTATGATGTGTAACAACGTGTATAAGAACAAATGTCGTTAGATTTTAATGACACTGATATTTAAAAAGGTATAGAGGATTTTCCCAAATTTTAGGAAAAACCCGCCCTCTCCACTTTTTCATCAAAACTCTCTGGTCTAATTGACGAGCACGTATCACCAGAATAATTGACCATTGGGAGAACCAAGTCTTGATGATCCACCCAGAAGTAGAACATCTTCCTATAAACCTTTAAGATACTAGTATTAATGTGTGACAGAAGATGTTAGGTATCAACAGACATACAATTCTTTAATCAGATTCCTCAAATGTGTGGAGGCTGTTGCTGCTTAAACCTGTCTCCAAATGTACGTTTCTTCAAACTAAATTTATTTCAAGTTGATGGAAAAGTGTGTTAAATTAAAGTACATACGATATTTTCATGTGAAGATGTACATTTAGATCATATTAGTGGACTGACAGTGTGACATCACCATTTCCATATATGGGCATTTGTTTTTAGGGGTGTTAGCTGTGCGCCGTTAAAGGGTCAGGCACGTTGCAAAGGCAAGCTGGAGTTTCACTTGTGAATGAAGGCAAGGAACGTCCTTGGACATTTCTACCAGCTCTTCTCTACCTGGTTGTTACTCTATCCCGTCTACAAACCATGGCTTAATACCAGCTTAGAAATGCTCCCAATAGGGGCAGAGCAAAGTAGGGCTGGTGTCTCAGCTGGTCTGGGAACGCCTCAGGATTCCCCCAGATGAGCTGGTAGTGTGTGGAGAAGGAAGACTGAGTGGCTAAAAAGACTGCTGCCCCCTGCGACCCGGCAATGGATAAAGCGGAAGACACACATACACAGCGTTTGATATTTCAAGTTTATTCCTTTATTACGCAATACTGTTCTTACATTCCTTCTCCAGTGTAAATTTAATTATTTAATAAATTCTTTCCAAAAAAAAACAGTGAACTGGGTAAAACAGCATCGACATCAGAAGTGGGCCTTTGTGCTTCTGTGCTGCCGACTTCCAAACTCAAACCGGGACAAAATTTTGTTTCAACTTTTCTCAGAACAAAGTGCTTGATTGACCATTCGCTTTACAAAAAAAATAATTTCTAAAACTACAGCACGGATGCAAAACTTTACAGCTAACTTTGAAAAGATTTTAAAAAACATCTTTGTGAAACGGGCTTAAAAAGAACACATGAAGACGTGGGTGTGATTAAGGCAGGCTTTTGGTGAGGCGTTAAAACAGTCCATCGTCCAGAGAGTCCTGATCACAGGGACCGCGGACGTTTGTGCGCAGCTCGGGTCGAAGAGGCGCAGACCTTGGGGTTAAGCCGGGTTTTCCTGAAGACCGTTGTACCAGACCACTCTGGAGGGATCTGCAGCACAAACACAAGCTGAAGGACAAGCCTCATTCACACTAAGCAACAGTCTGAGCGGCGTGGGTTGGTGTCGGAACAAAGCGCCTTCTGACCGCAGAGAGTATGTAACAGACCTGTCAAACTCAGGCTCAAGGGCCCAATCCGGTCCGTAAGATAATATTAGTAAGCCCTAAATTATTCTAAATTATTATTAACTTGCAGCATTGATTGTAATGTTATACAAAATCAAAACAATCTAATTTAATTGGTTTCTAAAATTTCAACCCATCAGATTTAATTTTTGAATATAAGAAAATAAGATGTGTTAACTTTATATTTGGACCAAGTTTGGTGAAATCTTCAGAAAAAACACCAAACAAAACAGAGAAAAGGAAATCTCTTCTATTCTTCCAGCCTCCGACCAAAATGAGTTTTGACACCTTTGGTAAATAAGGAGTGGACTGACAGAGTGTGACATCACCGTAGTGTTAGCCTTAAAGCACAAGAGGCAGATTTGAACATAAGCTTGCAGAAGTCCATTTCCTTGTATGGTCTCTGCAGTGGAACAAGGACTGTAGAGTAGAGTACGGTAGGGTAGGGGGAAACTCACCTTTTTTCTCTCTGCTGCATATAGTGTTCCATTCTGCAAACACAGACAGACACAGTTTAAAAACATGCCAACAATTTGACATAAGACAAAACATTCTCCCTCTGGTGGTGGCACAGGGAATTACAGGCAAAAGCATAATCAGAATCATTTTTATTGCCACGTAAGTAACAGGAAGTCACAGACTTGGAAATTGCTTGCTCGGTTCAACAGTCAGAAAGAGATAATAAAAATAAAGAATACAAAACACTAAGGAATACATTTAAAATAGAGTTACAGTTAGGGCTGGGCGATATGGCAAAAAAGTAAAATCTCGATTTTATTTCCTGCTTTGGACGATTTTGATTTTAAATCGATTTTCATTTAAGTCACTCAAGACAGACTCTGCCCTTAAAATATTTTTTATCTTCCCGCTCAATATTTAAGTTTCAAAACTATTTTTTATTTGTTTCCCCCAGTACATATTATAAAAGTCTTGTACAGACTGTGCTGATATCGCAAGTATAATTGATGTGCTGCTGGAACTCTCACAATATCCCTCATTCGATTTCACGATTTTCACGAATTCGATTTTTTCAAAAATTGCCAAAATTCGATTTATTGCCCAGCCCTAGTTACAGTTACAGTGCACACAATGTAAGGTGACAGCAGTACAGTGAAGTAAAGTGACGTATGATGGGCAGTAAAGTGACTTTATAAAGGGCGGGGGGACAGGTTAAGAAGTGTTCAAGAGTCCAACAGCAGAGGGGAAGAAACTGTTCTTGTGGCGGGAGGTTCTAGTCCTGATGGACCGCAGTCTCCTGCCTGAGGGGAGTGGTTGGAATAGTCCATGTGCAGGGTGAGAGGGGTCGGCTGTGATACGACCAGCCCGGCCTCGAGCTCGGGCGACGTACAGGTCCTGCAGCGATGGAAGGCTGCGGCCGGTCACTTCCTCTGCAGAGCGCACAATGCGCTGTAGTCTCTGTTTGTCCCTGACTGTGGCTCCAGCGAACCACACGGTGATGGAGGAGGTGAGGATGGACTCGATGATGGCCGTGTAGAACTGCACCAACATCTGTGCAGGCAGCTTGGCTTTCCTGAGCTGCCGCAGGAAGTACATCCTCTGCTGGGCCTTCTTGATGAGGGAGCTGATGGTCGGCTCCCACTTGAGGTCCTGGGTGATGGTGGTGCCCAGGAAACGGAAGGACTCCACAGAGGTGATGGGGGAGTCCATCACGGAAGGTGGGGGCAGGGGGACAGTGCTCTTTCTGAAGTCCACAATCATCTCCACTGTCTTCTGGGCGTTCAGCTCCAGGTTGTTACCACTGCACCAGGACACCAGCCGGTCCACCTCCCTCCTGTAGGCGGACTCATCGTTGTTGGAGATGAGTCCAATGAGGGTGGTGTCGTCCGCGAACTTGATCAGCTTCACGGAGTCGTGGCTGGAGGTGCAGTGGTTGGTGTACAGGGAGAAGAGCAGGGGAGAGAGAACACAGCCCTGTGGGGCTCCTGTATTTATAATCAGAGAGTCCGAGACATTCTTCCTTCATACTTTTTTCACCACATATTTCCGACTGAAATTTTTTCTCTCAGGCACGACAGTCAGTTTTTTTGTGGACAATAAAAATGCATATTTATTAGAGTAAAGAAGGCAGTGTTTTCAATCACTCAGACTTCCAGAAACGGCAGCAATTCCTAAGTAGCTATGAAACAGTTTGGGTTTTACATTGTTTTTCTAGCTGTAAATTTTACTTCAGTACAGTGGTTTTAGACTGATCCAGAGCAGAGCAGAGAGGGTGCATGGTCCCAACAAAACAGATTAAGTGGATTTCCGCTTTATCCGTTTCTTTGGGACCATGCACCCTCTTAAAAAAAAAATAAAAAAATAATGCCAATAACGCTAGGGCTGCACGATATTGAAAATTAGTGCGATATTTGATGGGTTTTAGTATTGCGATAACAGTAATATTGCGATAATTTTGTCTTGATCGTTGATGTGTCTGTTTTGTTGTCTTAAAAGTACAAAAAAAAAAAAAAATTTAATCGTGGATCTTTTCAGTATGCATATCGCACGCGCCAATATTGCGATAACGATACATTTTTTGATATATCGTGCAGCCCTAACTAACGCATTCAGTTTTCACTCTGAACCAGAGCAGAGAAAATAGTCCGTACCAAACAAACTCCGCAAACATCAACCAAGGGATAGGAAGCAACTCATCACCATCGGCTACACGACCTCTGCAGCTGCGACCCAAAGTTCTGTTGCACTTTATTACAATTGATAGTATCTTTTAGAATTATGTACTTGTGTTTGTATGGCTTTATGAGTTTCTGCTGCTGCATTTCTTCTAAAGGGATCAATAAAGAATCCATCTATAAAGCCTGAGTGTGTGTTGTGTGCAGAGTTCACTGACCTCGACTGTGATAGCTGAAAGCCTCCACCAGGTGGCGACAGCTGAGGAGGAGCTTGCTGTTGTTGTGGTCTTCCTGTGGGGGAAGTGTGTCTGAGGCGGGAGGGGAGGCGGCGGGACTGGGGACTGGCTCGTGCAGCGGCTCCTCCACGCGGGGATCGACCTCGGTCTTTGGGGAAGGGCACTCTGAGCAGTCGGCCTTGGGGCTGGGCGACCCGGAACTGTCTGAGGCGGCTCGGGCTTCGCTGATGAAGCTCAGTCCCCATTGGTTCTGCAGCAGGACGCCGATGGCCGGACGCTCCTCCTCCAGGGCGCCTGCAGCACAGCGTCCACAAATACATCATCGATCGCATTACGGCATTTCATCTACCGCGATAAAACATGTTCTCTGCCACGTTTAGCACTTTTCCACCACCCAGCGGCTACATCTCCTCTGCGGCTGTGACCTGAAGTGCTGCTGCTTATTATTACTATTGTTAACTTTTTAGTAGGGGTACAACGGTTTGAAAAAAAAAAAATATCACGGTTCGGATCGTACCTCGGTTCAGTTCATTTTTCAGAATAAAAAGTTGTCTATTTAATAAACACTGCTCATGTGGACCAGGGGCTGGTGCTCTGTGTACTGGGTACTCTGACTGCTACTCCACTGACCTAGAAATGGATTAAGGGGAAGGAAACGCATGGATGGAAGGCATATTCCATCCAATTATGTCTTTTTAACATAATTAATGAAAACCAACACAAAGTGAGTAGGCATTTTATGAGGGTATTTACCCTCATATTAAACCACCTTCATGATTCTCCCGAGGAGGCGGTCCATTCTGGGCCCAGTCCAGCCTCATTTACTGCATTTATTTAATTTTTGGCATTATCAGTTGTAACTGGGATATTAGTACTGGGCCTTTGTCTTCCATTCCTCCGTTGCTTGTGTCAGAACCTGAGCTGTGTGCCTGTACTGACACACTTGACTTTGGTAGAGGGGGCGTGTCTGCAGCGCCGGACTTTACATCTCCCAGTCTGCACCGATGAAGTGAGCGGTTATCGTAACATCTCATGGATCTATTATAGGTTCTGCGGGACGTTTAAGCGTCAGTCGTGAGCGCAACTGAGGATGCGCGGGAGAGTTGACTAGCCCGGTCTGAATGCATGAAGGAGCTGCTTAAATGCAGCGACAATAAGCGGCCGTTGAGGTGCTTTTGTTCACTTTTTTTCTTGTGCCACAGTGTTTACACACTGTGACAGTTTTGTCGACTATTCAATCATCAGTGTAGTTACAGTGAAGCCAAAAGGCTCTCATACCGGGGATATAAATGATGCGGGGCTTTCAAGTTCCTCCGCTCGCCGTGATTATGCCGTGTGTGGACTGAACATCATAGTGGGAGCGCACAACTTTGTTTTTAAAAAAATCAAACCGCGGATCACGTCTGTACCGAACCGAAGATGTTGATCCGAACGGATCACGGATCAGTGGTGAAGCACGTCTACTTTTTAGAAATGATCCATTTTATTTTTGCTGCTACTGGACACCAGAATTTCTCCTACGGGGGCTCAATAAAGTACCTATCTATCCATCTTTTCCTACTGTTCTAAACACCACACTTTATCTACCCCATGCCATCTATCTCTGGCTCTAAACACAACATTATTCATTTGACATTAACAGTTTTCATTGGACAGACCAGATGCACTGCCTTTAGTGTTATAAAGTAAGACCATGCTAACACTTCTTTAGCACCTTATCTACCACTCTAAAAGTGTGGATCATCTACTGTTAACAGGGCGTAAAGTGCTATAATCAACACACATGCAGCAGGTTAAGTTCATACGTCCTCATGCATCCATAAGATTCAAGAATTGCGTTGCCATGTGCAGTAAATCCACATTGGAAAAACTGTGCAAGTCAACCCCAGGGTGCAACAGGCGGCACACACCAGAGCTCATGCCACAGCGCCAAGTGACTGAGGACGAGAGCGCACGGCCAAAACATACATGGAGCAACATTCAAATGTAATTTATATAGTTTCTGCGTATTTCAAAGCTTTCTTTTAGTTCACTTTTTTATTGGCCTAAAAGAAACATTTTTAAAATGTAATATTTAGTTAGAATCTTTAAAGATAAAAACGGTTGAACACTGTTGATCTGAGTATTGTATAGACTTGCAGGAGCCCCGGGAGTCACTCTACGCCTCTTTGGGCTGAACACATGGATCACCGTGGCGTGCAGACTCACCGCTGTCCCCGGCGGCTGAGCGCGCCTTGACCTTGGATGCGTAGCTGACCGCGGGCTGCAGCTTGGCGGGACTGTCCTGGACGGGGAAGGCTGGAGGAGGCTTGAGCAGAGACAGACTGTCCTCCACCCAGCAGCGCTCCTTCTGGGACGCCCTCCGCTCCTTGGCCTTGTGGCTCTCTCTGCGCGAGCTCCTGCCTTTCTGCGCCTTACGCTCCTTGTCCTTGCGCAGCGCGGGGCCCTGACCGTCGTCCGAGGGGGAAGTCTGTCGTGGCGTTACTATGGGAGACGGTGACAAACAAGGATCAGTACAGTTTTGGATCATGCACACTGGCATCGTGTAATGTTAGCACACAATTCAAATCTTAATCTTTGTTTAGAAAAATAACCACATTTTTTCCATTTGAGAAAAGAAAATGTTCAAACCAGTCTGAAAGTACTTTGCTGTGGGCGCTGCACGATGTCAACATGAGGTAAAACATGGGAGGAGGTGGACACAGAACTGATCTTTACGTGTTTATAGTAATTTCTGTGACAGACCGACTCCACAGTATTTTCAAACGCTGCAGCTTGAGTCCTGACTAAAACCAGGAAGTACTGGTCTAAAAACGAGTAGTCACCAAAAGTCTGTCCATATAAACCAACTCTGAGGAGCACAGGGACAGGCCTCCTGCGAGACCCCGAGTTAGGACTAAAAATGGGGAGGCAGCATTTCAAGTTAATGCAGATATTTCAGACAGAAGTCTTCTCTGACAATGTTTAAATTCAGTTTAAATTGAGTTCAAATTTCACTTATCTGTCAGTTGGTCCCACAGTATTCCCACAGTATTCCCACAGTATTCCCACAGTATTCCCACAGTATTCCCACAGTATTCCCACAGTATTCCCACAGTATTCCCACAGTATTCCCACAGTATTCCCACAGTAGTCCCACAGTAGTCCCACAGTAGTCCCACAGTAGTCCCACAGTAGTCCCACAGTATTCCCACCTCTGGCTGCTGGCTGGTGTGAGGCCTCCTGGATGCAGCCCCCTCCTCCTCCTCCGCCTCCCCTCCCTGACCCGGGAGACAGGCGCCGGTTACGAACGTGTGGCTCTGCGCTGACGGAGGAGACGAGGACGGCGGGGTCACACAGAGGGTCCGACTCGCACACAGTGGTCGCAGCTTCCCAGGCACCTGCGGGGTCAGAGGTCATGGTCAGAGGAGGACAAGTATCTATAGATCCTACACAGCAAAGGTCTCCAACATCTGGCTCGGGTGCTACAGTGCATTGTCACAGTCGTTCAAGTAACTCTCCAAAGGATTTAGAAATTAACACATGATCCTGAACGATTCACTTGAGTCTGTTTTCACAATAAATATTTGGATTAATGCTAAGATACTGTGCAGTGAAATGGTAAATTCTGCATGTGTGGTCTCAATGAACGCTGTAGTCATTAGAGACTACAACTGTATTACGTCTGCTACAGAGGAGTAACTTTTTTTTAAATAAAAGTAGGCATCTGTTGCAACGGCTGCAAACTAGTGTCGCCACACGCTAGAGTGGAGCTCGCGGACAAACAAAACAAGCACATTATGAAGAGACAAATGCAAAGAACTTTTTATTTTCTAATGAGTTCATAAAAATGCTTATTACTACATACAAGCTGTATTAAAATTTGTAATTTAATTGAAAACTTGAGCTCATTGATTCAGCTGTGTATAAATTCAGGCCGTAAAAAGTGCTGAGTAGAGACTTAGCGTGACGCTAGGGCTGGGCGATAAAACGATAACGATATATATTGCGATAGACACGTGTTCGATATCAATAGAAAACAGGGTCGATAAAACTTCGATAGTTCAGTCCGTTCGAAAAACAACAGGAAGAAAACACAGGAAGTAAAGCCGCGCAGCATTCTGGGGTATGTAGGCAAAGGCTTCTCGACCTATCACAGCCGACTACAAACCGCAAAACTTTCTGGGAAAAGCAAAAAAACAACCGCACTCTGCGTAGCGTCCATGGATCATGAATCTATTATAATAGCCATGGATCTAAAGATTGTGTTTCAGTGCCGTGTCAGTAGTAGGAACAGCATGTGCAGCGCGGGAGAGGTAGATACTCGATGCATGCGGCAAAAGCAAGAGATTAACTTTTTCCGGAGCCGCCACAGGGACACAAGACACTTGAAAACAGCCAAAACAGGAGCTAAACCAGGACTAAACCAGGACTAACTGGGGGAGACTGCTTGTGAACATTTGGCTCCAGCCTCATTCCCCCGTGACTGTAAACATGGGCTGCTAACATGTGTTAGCCGACACGACAAATTTATTTATTTAAGTTTACATTTTTTTAAAAACAATCAATATATATCGTTATCGACCGATAACTCCTCTGGCTGTAACTGCAGACACAGCAAAACAGCCCAAACACCACAACAGTGAGGAAGAGAAGAGGGAACTAAATCCAAAAAATTATCAAAGAAGGAATCAAGCCCGAGTGAACATAGCTAGCTTACATCGTATCCTCTGGAGAGACTTGTCTGTGGGAGAGACCTGCGGGACCACCTCGGACTATCTATGCTCGGACCATCCAGGTAATCTTTCAGTTACATATTTTGTTAGCAGTGCGCTGCTTTTGTACCATTTCATCAGTGATTGTTGAACAGCTTACAAGAAGTTGCGCTCATGCTAATGTTTGCATTAGGGGTGCAACGGTTTGAAAAAAATCACGGTTCGGTTCGTACCTCGGTTCAGAGGCCACGGTTCGGTTCATTTTTCGGTTCATTTTTAAAAAAAAAAGTTTTGTCTTTTTAATAAACACAGCTCATGTGGACTCTGCACCTGCTCTGACTGCCTCCCTCCTGACCTAGAAATGAATTAAGGGGAAGGAAATGGATGGATGGATGGATGGCATATTCCATCCATCCAATTATGTCTATTTAACATAATTAATGAAAAACAACACAAAGTGCAACATAAGAAGGCACTTTATGAGGATATTTACCCTCATATATTACACCACCTTCCTGATTCTCCCAAGGAGGGGGTCCATTCTGGGCCCAGCCTCATTCACTGCATTTATTTAATTTTTGGCATTATCAGTTGTGACTGGGATATTAGTACTGGACCTTTGTCTTCCATTCCTCTGCTGCTTGTGTCAGAACCTGCGCTGTGTGACTGTGTGACTGTCGTAGAGGGGGCGTGTCTTCAGCGCCAGACTTTTCATCTCCCAGTCTGCGGTGATGAAGTGAGCGGTTCCGCTCATGGATCTATTATAGGTTCCGCGGGACGTCCAAGCGTCAGTCGTGAGCGCAGCTGAGGATGCGCGGGAGAGTTGACTTTAGCCCTGGGTCTGACTGTGCGTAAAGGAGCTGCTTAAATGCCGCGACAATAAGCGGTCATTGAGACGCTTTTTTCACTCATGTCTTTCTTGGTCCACAGTGCTTACACATCGTGACAGTTTTGTCAAATATTAATCATCAGTGTAGTTACAGTGAAGCCAAAATGCTCTCATACTGGGGATTTAAATGACGCGGGGCTTTCAAGCATCTCCGTTCCTCCGCTCGCAATGACCGCGCTGTGTGTGGACTGAACAACGTGCGCACAACTTTTTTTTCATAAATCAAACTGCGGATCACGTCTGTACCGAACCGAAGACGTTGAACCGAACGGATCACGGATCAGTGATGAACCGTTGCACCTCTAGTTTGCATACGTATCAAAGCGTAGGGGAAATGAGAAGCCTGTGAGCGAGTTGGAGGCAGTGCTAAACATTAAAACTGAAAAAAACCTTGCAGAAACAGGTATAGCTCTTTTAAACTGCAGCCATTAAGCAACCTACAGCAAAGTGCACACTCCTTTAATACTGTGCGGATGAAATTGGCAACTTTAGGCAAGATTTGAGGTTAATATGTGCCATACTGAATTTGAATCATGTAATTAACCTTGTGCTTCATTTTTTTTTAGATTTTTCTCTTGAGGTTCAATGCAGATTGCATTTTTAGGTGAAAGTCAAACAAATCGCTAATAATATCAAAATACTTAACACCCATATCGAATATTGCTCCAATATCGTACAGCCCTTAATGGCACTATCGGTTTTTATCATTGCATTTCCTGTGTTTGAACCGTTTGATTCTCTGATCTGTGTTGGCAGATCGACAACTTTGTAAAATCCTCTGCAATAACTGCAGTTGTGATTTAGGGCGATACTAAAATAAGTTGAATTGAGCTGACCAGAAGAGGTCAAGATCAGAGACGAGAGCTGGCGTGAGAGAGCACCACGGCGGCCGACTCGCCTCAGACACGTTTCTCAAAGTATGTTCCAGCATTTTCTGTGGCTCGTCTCCCGAAGCTCATTCATTTAAGTTTTCCTTTCATACAGTGTAAGGGCTGCACGATATATCAAAAAAATATTGTTATCGCAATCCTAAACACTCGTATCGAATATCGCACTAATTTCCAATATTGTGCAGCCCTTCTGAGTAAACAGGTATTTACATCCATGTACAAGCTTCACTGAGTATGTTTTGAAGTAGTTATACAATCTGCAGTAAAACTGAGGTACCTGACTTTCACACTATCACTCAACAGTTTGGTCCATCACTAGTTTTCATGAATATTTGGCCTCTGTCACATCTTTAGGTCGGCTTTTGCAGACAAAAGAGGACCACCCTCCGTCAGCCCCAAAGAGTCAAATAGTGACTCATAAGTCATAAAGACAAGGATTTTTTTCTAATCAGATGTTGTGAATTGATTTGTTAAAAACATGTCATTACAGAAAGTGTTTATGAACAGCTATAACAGCTTTTAGCATAGTAAAAGAAATCCATTGATTAGAATGTGAGCTGTCAAAAAGATTGCTCCGGGAGTTTTAGTGTTGAACAACAATATGGGAGAAACACTTTGTCCAGGATACATGTAAATATAGAACCATTCATCATTATAAAGACAGAGCAAGTCATTTTCATGTGACTTCTGTCTGAGTCACACTTCTCAGGTCATATTATAGAGTTAAAGATTAATCCAGGACTTATGTAGCAGACGGTACTTGAAATCAATTAGTGGTTATGAATATATTGCATCGATGTCCTGGTTTAAGTCCTGGTTGAGTATTTTAGACACAACTTTTAACCGACTATAATCTTATACTAATAACCAAGCAAACGTACTGAGAAAGTGAGATTACATACAGGGTCCCACACACATGCAGACACACACACGCACACAGATATATACAGAGACACGCACACAGATATATACAGAGACACGCACACAGATATATACAGAAAAACAGTTTTGTAGTCACTTCGAGAAAAACAATGTCTATTTTTGGCTCTGGTCTGTGGAGCGGCGCTTGAGTGGGAGCTAGCTGCCATGAGCCTGGGACACACCAAACTGTTACCAAACCAAGCAAAATATGGATTCCTGACGCACAAACACGCCCTTTTAGCAGTTAATGTAGATTCATAGGATGTGAACGCACTATTTTATCAAGCCCAAGTGTTGTCGTTGGAGATAGGAGAGAGTAGTCGAAGCTCCACCACGCTGCGACTGCGTTAGCTTGGTTCAAAGTTTCATAACCCCCATTGAAAGCGGGAGCCTCGATAGCACGATGCTAACGAAAGTAGCAGCAAATTAGCGATCCAAACACGGGCATAAGGGGGACAAGGACCGGGGAAAGTTGCCGGGACTTACCTGTTTTTATATGCATGTCTTTGTGGCGGGTTTGTGGGCGGGTTCGGACGCGTTGAGAACTTTTGTTGACAGTTTACGGAGTGAGAGCGGCGAGAAAGCGGCTCCAGGAAGCGACACGAGACTACGGCGATGGGAGTGGGTGCTCAAGATAAGAGCTCCGGACGGGGACAAGGGCGGAACCATAAAGGCTGGATAGACGTACAGTCCCTGGTCCATTACAATCAATTCAATTTGTGTGTATAGCACAAAATCACAAAAGTAGTCATCTGGGAGGACTTTACAAAGTTCTTTCTGGTCTCCATACTACAGAAGAGGGAGCGAGCTACTCCTTTTTGCACGCATAATACAAATCTATGTAATAACTAGAAACTTGCAATGGCTGAAGCCATTGCGATTGACTGCGGAACAGATCTAATGTGGAATTTAGCTGAAAAATCCTTGAAATCCTTGAAACTGTTAAAATACTTTAAACATCTTTGAAACTCCTGAAGTATTTGAAGCTCCTGATATCCTTTAAAC